GAGCAGCTCAGTTCCAGCTCCTGAGGCCACTTGAGGAGTGAACAAGAAGACAGAAGGTCTTTCTCTATCTCTCCTTCTCTCTATAAGCCTGCTTTACAAATTGAAAGAGTTAGAGGGAGGGACGAGGAGAGACCTTCCATCTGTTGATTCACCTGCCAAATGGCCTCGGGGGCCAGGTTTAGGCTATACTGAAGCTGAGAGCTATGTGTTCCATTCAGGTCCCATGTGGTACAGGGATCCTGCAGTTGGGCCATAGTTCACTTCCTTCCCAGGCAACTAGCAGAAAGCTGGATCAGAAGTGGATCAGTCAGGAGCCCAGCACAGTAGCTTAGTGGCTAAAGCCCTCACCTAGAAAGCACCAGGATGCCATATGGGTGCCAGTTCTAATCCCAACAGCCCCACATCCAGCTCCCTGCTTGAGGCCTGGGAAAACAATTGAGAACTGCCCAAAACCTTGGGACCATGCACCTACGTGGGAGACTCAGAAAAGCCTCTGGGCTCCTGGCCTCGAATCGGCTCAACTCCAGCCTTTGTGGCCACTTGGTGAGTGAATTAACACATGGAAGCTCTTCCTCTCTGTCTCACCTCCTCAATGTAATATGACTTTGCAATTAAAATATATAAATCTTGGGCCCGGCAGGGTGGCGCAAGTGGTTAAGGTCCTCGCCTTGCACGCCCGGGATCCCATATGGGCGCCAGTTCTATCCCGGCAGCCCCGCTTCCCTTCCAGCTCCCTGCCTGTGGCCTGGGAAAGCAGTCGAGAACGGCCCAAAGCTTTGGGACCTTGCACCCGCGTGGGAGACCCAGAAGAGGCTCCTGGCTTCGGATCGGCATAGCATCGACCGTTGCGCTCACTTGGGGAGTGAATCATCGGATGGAAGATCTTCCTCTCTGTCTCTCCTCTCTGTATATCAGCCTTTCCAATGAAAAAATAATAAAAATAAATCTTTAAAAATATATATATATATAAATCTTAAAAAAAAAAAAAAAACAAGCGGACCAGCCAAAACTGAAACCATACAGGGTTTCTGGTGTTTCAGATTTCAGTTTTTCCATTGTGTCTCTGGCACTTAAATCACAGGAAAGCGGCCCCTACTTAAGGATTATGTTCATATTTCTGCTGAACCTCACATTTTATATATAACCTGTGGTCTTTATGTGATATTCATATAAACTAAACTATTATTTCTTTAAAACAAAGGTAGGAAATGATAATTATCTTCATGGGATATTTTTTCAGACACAATATGGTTCATAATTAAATGATTGCAGTAACATAAAAATCCCCTCAAAATGTGAATGTGTGGAAAAAAAACCCAAGATCTTCCAGAATCTAGACTCTATGGGGTCTAGCAGGGAGAAACGAAGGGTGACTGCTCAAGGGTTGCAGTGCTGATGTGAGCTTTCTGGAACCTAGACAGTGGTAACTTCTGCACAGCATAGAAATACACTTAATTTCATGAAATTGTCTACTTGAGACACAGTGAGATATTTTATTAGAAACAAAATTTAGGAGGTAAGATACAGTAAACCCGTCTGAGAAAATGAAGATTGAAAACAAAAGCCTTGGCAGGGCACCTGCAGAGTGGGCGTGCAGCAGAGCCAGCAGGAGCTGCGGCTGAGGAACTGGCACCTGCTAGGATGTGCACACGCTGTGGACTTGCAGGCAGCTCTACCTGCAGCTGGTGCTCCGGAGCTTCTCGGAGCCATCTCGGGCTGTGGGACCGGGGCTTCTGATACATGCAGCTGATTCTCTGCAGTCAGTGCCACAGTGTTTTTCTGCCAGGGCTGCTGGCCACTTAAGAAACTATTTTGGCCACACAGTTTGCCAAGGGGTCTTTTCCACTGTAATCAAAACAGTCTTAGCTATTCCACTCTCCCAGCAACCACCAACAGGCAGCATTGGCTGTGGGGTTATTATTCCCTCCAGTCAGGCATAACAATGCAGGCCACCTATGCATGGACATTTGTTTGATGGTTAAAGTTGGATTCACAGGGAGTTGAGACAGAGACTCCTTTACAGTAGGTGGAGGCCATGCTTTCCGGGAGCATCGATGGCTAGTGTGTTCTCAAGCTGAGTCCATTGTGCAATCTGTTCCCAGGATAGGCAGGTTTACCAAGCTCTTCTTTAACAGCAACTAATTTGAAATGAGGGACCACTAAACATTATTTTCCCAATTGCTTCCTTTCCTCAGATTGTTCTCCTGGCCATGTGAACTGAGTTATCCTCAAATACTGCTGTTTTCTATTCTAAAATCCATGAATACATAACCATTTTGTAAAAGGAAAAAAAAAAGCAGAAACAATAAGTGGAAACAGTTGGATTTGCTAACTTAAGAATCTTTATAACCAATGGTAAGAAAATGAATATTTAAAACGAGTGAGTTAAAAATACACATTATGTTTTTTCCTGACTTTAACAGTATCTGGAGACAAAGAAATTCCATGACCTTGGCCTTCGAAAGATGACAACTTCACTGATTTGCAATTTGACAAGGAAGTTAAAGAAGATTTCCATATGAAGATAAATCCCAAGAGCTGAGAGGAAATCCCTTTTTAATTTAATAAATTCCAACGATAAAACACATTATTAAACTATTTTTACTATGGCTAAAGCTACTCAGAGATAGCATTAGATTCAGAATATCTAGTAAGACAAGATATCAAAGCAACTGGAAACCAGAGAAAGAGGTTTACCTGTTGTCACTCCCAATCAGTTCCAGTGCGGCGCATGTGTAAGCCTTTCTGACGATGAACACATCTCCTGAGAACCACTGCGGTCATGTTTACGACAACTAAGCATGCTGAAATGAACCTTAAGTTGATAAAGATTCTACTACATAATTTATTTTTTAAAAGATTTACTTTATTTTGATTGGAAATTCAGATATACAGAGAGGAGGAGAAACAAAGAGGAAGATCTTCCATCCACTGACTTACTCCCCATGTGGCTGCAGAGGCCAGAACTGAGCTGATCTGAAGCTAGGAGTCCAGAGCCTCTTTCAGGTCTCCCACATGGGTGCAGGGTCCCAAGGCTTTTGGGCCATCCTAAACTGTCTTCCCAGGCCTCAAGCAGGGAGCTGGATGCAGAAAACCAGGCTGCTGGCACCCATATGGGATCCCAGGCATGCAAGGTGAGAACTTGAGCCACTAGGCTACTGTGCCAGGCCAGATTCTACTACATAATTTAAAGCATCACCTGTGATACGGAGTCCCAAAAGTGCCAATGATGGGGCACTTGTGTCAGTATGTGCATTCATTTTCTTTATATTTGAGGGCAGGGGGAGGAGGACTCTTGTAGTGTTCTATTATTAATTTCAACAACATAACAAATTATCTTCTGTGTACACATCTTTGTCTGCATCTGGAATTTGAGCATTTAAAAATAAAGTTTTTGAGCACATTAACGCTTAACCATGGATTTAATTTTAAGTGCTGGCATTTTAATTATGGAGTGACATGGAATTCAATGTAAAAGAATCTCATTTTCTTCCATTTATATGATCTATAAAGCTGATTCCAGCTTTAAAAAAAAAAAAAAGACTAGTGCAGGGACAACATTTACAATCATGATTAGTAAAATGAAGCTCTTCCCACTTGCCATCTTTCAAATGAATACGCAGTATGTGAACAGATACATGACTTTAACAAAATTGGATATTGGAAATAGCTGTAAAATAAAGAGACGTTACTTTCACTTCACTGGGGTTTCATCTGCAAAATACAAGCTTGTCTTAATGGATCAGGAAGAGATCTGAGTCTCTCTCTCTCTCTCTTTTTTTTTTTTTTTTTTCTGCTCATATCACTTAGTCATCCTGGTAGCAAAGACCATTCTGAAACACAGAAGTTTTAAATGATGAGCCGCTTCTGTCAAGACTTTGGCTTGGGGCCAGCACTGTGGCATGGAGGGTAAAAATCGTGCCTGTGGCACTAGCTTCCTGTATTGGCACCAATTCAGTTCTCAGCTGCTCCACTTCCAATCCAGCTTTCTGCAAAGTGCACCTGGGGAAGTAATGCCACAGGGCCTCAGTGTACTCAAGTTCCTGCCCCTGGATTCAGACCAATCCCAACTCCGGCCCTTCTGTCCATTTAAGAAGTGAACAGCAGATGGAATCTCTCTTTTCTCTCTCTCTCTCTCTCTCTTTCTTTACCACCCCATCCTCGAACTCTGCCTTTAAAATAAATACATCTTTTATAAAAAGGTCTTCCAGATTTTTTGCCTTTTCATCTACAAATCTGTGTACTAACTATAGAAATATGTAAGAAGGAAGGATTTATCCAACTGAATTCCACATTTCTGAAAAGCATATATTTCTTCTAAATGCTTTTTATTGTAGAACATTCACAACTCTGGCTTGCTCCCCAAATGCCCTCAATGTCAGGTACAGGGCTGGTTCACTCCTCAGTACCCAAAGTCAGACAAGGCTGTTTCAGCAAAAATACAGAAACTCCATCTGGATCTTCTGTAAGGCTGGCAGGGACTTGAACCATCACCAATGTGACCCAGTTGGCGTGTAGCTTTAATGGTATGCATTAAGGTGTAGTATTTGAGAGGTATAAGAGCCAAGACTATTATTCTTTAAAACATTACGTTATTTAAAAGCAAAGGACTAAAATCCAGACAGCGGTTAGCTTTCAAATGAGATCTTGTTTACCTTTGACTGTTTTCCATTTCACACTATGGATTGGGTGCTTTTGTACGTTGTAGGGTGTGAAACTGAATAGTAGTCTAGAAACTAAAAAAAACATCACATGAAGCATTAGAGTTAATGGAGAAAAATACACGGAAGTCCATGTTTATAATGAAGTTCAGGAAGGTCCTTTTATACAAAATGATATTTGAATGGATACCTGAAGGTTGTACAAGATTACCCTTTGATGAAGTCAAGACTTTTCCAATGTACAGGTGGAAGGAGAATTTCTCTCACTCTTGCACTGGCTCTCTCCCCACCTCTACGTATCTCTATGGTACCTTTATGCCTCTCAAATAAATTAAATTTTAAAAATACTATACCTGTTGTTGTGACACCTATGTAATGCAAAATATCTCTAAGGATTTTCACACAATATATTTTAGTACAAAGCCACTAAAATACTGAGCAAATAATGCAGTCAGTATAGTGTTACTGTCATGCAGAGGATATGTTTAAAATATATGCACAATTTTAGGATGTTCCCGAAACTCTGTCTTGGTTTCTGTCGGCCTCCTCATGAGATCAGAGGAAGCCTGCATAAGATCCAAGTTCTGTAATAGCTAGACAGAAAAAAAGAAGTATTTTATCTCAACGACTTCATAGTTAAATCTTTATCACTATTGAGAAAAAATACATATATATACACAATGATGGCATACATTCAGTATTCAAATATGTATTTATAGTTGTACTTTGAACTCATGATGTTTATGGGTTAATATTCAGAGTTGCTCATTCATCTCCTCATCCTTGTACAATGCACTTAATAATAGGATTATAACATGAAGATGATATAGTCCATTCCTCCATTATGTAAACCTGTCTTCTCAAACTCCAATTTAAAAAAAAGCTGACTGGGCAATCATCATGCAATGCATAGACAAAAGCAGATAAATTAAACAGGGCTGTACTGAAATACAAAGGGGATGTGGCTCCTAATTTCACGCCAATATTGTACATCTTCTGGTGGGTTGAAGTGTACATTAATATCTGAACCACTGAGATCTGCAGTTCACATTTGTGTCCCAGATAAGAGGGAGAATTAAAAGATACACAGTAAGGTAGAGGTCAGGAAAAAGCCTTATGGGATTATGAGCAGTTTGCTTTGTCTTCACAAGAAATAAATTATTTCAGTGCTTTTACTCCACGCTAAGGATTTGAGAACTTATCCAGAAGGCAAAAGCTAACCCTGTGACCAGGTAAATGACAGGCCAAACATCATCTATTGGGTACTAATTTATGAACTGTAACTTCTTGAGCAACTATTACTGAGTTTAGATTTCTGAGCTTAACACTGCCATGCATCTGGGAAGTTGATGATGCCATTCTTATGTGAGAACAGCTGTATCACACAGACTGACGGTTCCACAGGGATGGCAGGACTCATAAACGTGTAATGCCACTAAATCACCTAGACTTGCTGAGCATTATAAAAGCTATTTTAAAAAGGATTTCTTTACTTTTTTTTATTGGAAAGGCAGATCAGATTTACAGAGAGAAGGAGACAGAAAGATCTTCCATCTGCTGGTTCTCTCCTCAAACGTCACATCAGCCAGAGCTACGCTAATCCAAAGCCAGGTCTTCCACACAGGTGCAGGGTCCCAAGGCCTATGAGCCATCCTCTGTTGCTTTCCCAGACCATAAACAGAGAGCTGGATGGGAAGTGGGGCATGAACTGGTGCTCATTTGGGAACCCATCTCTTGCAAGGTGAGATTTTAGCCATTGAGCCATTGCACTAGAACCCTTTAAAAAGCTGTGTAGTATCAAAACAAAGGAAAGTGATGGCATATACTACTTTCAGCTCATTCAAGAAATAAGATCATGCAAATTAAATGAAAAATTTGGGGGCATACCTCATCTGCTTCTTGAAGTAAATCAGTTTGTTCCTCCCGCATCTGTAAAAAGTTGAATATAATGTATTAAAGTTTATGTTAAGCAACATACAATCCCATGAGTATGTTATATCATTTAGAAAATGTGACCTCTATGTAAGACATTGGAAACCAAACCAAACTTCAATTGAGCAATAAATGCATAAATAAAGATTCACTTTTTTAAAAAGTTTACCTAAAAGAAGATATGAGTGGATAATGCTATTTAGATTAATCTGAGAACAACTACAGTTAGGATTACTCTGCAATAAACATGATTGTAGAAGCGTAATGCTTTATCATACTAGTATAAAATAAGTCATATCATATTTTATACCAAACGAATTATTTGTATTTGTTAGCAGGCCTTGCCTTTTTAAAGAATTCAGTGAGGTTTTAAATTCTAATGTAAGTTTTCTGTAAAACCAACTTTATGTTTCCCAGTTTTTCAGCATGGAATTTTAAGCACATAAGTGAAAAAAACAATATTGTCGTAATGTCTTGTGGGAATCTTACTGGCAAAGATTAAGTCAAATCACCATGGTAACCATATTACGATTCAGTACTTTTTTTTCATATAGACTCAGAAAATTTAATGGAATAAGGGACAAATATGGGTAAAAGCTAGCTTTCACATTTGGTTTCTGTGAATTCCTAATTTTCTAGAACTAGAAATTTAAAAGCAAGATAGAGATCTTTAAAATTTTAACTTATTTTAGATAGTTAAGCACAGTGGAATATATTAAAGCATGAGAAACTACTGAGAAGAACTGTATCCTAATAAACTGGGAAACCTCAGGGAAATAGGCAAATTCCTGGATTTATATAACCTAGAAACATTACATCAGGAAGATATAGACAACACCCACAGACTCATAACAAGCAATGAGGTTGAAGCAGTAACCAAGAAGTTACTCCATCAAGGAAGTCCAGGACCTAATTGCTGAATTCTACAAAACATTCAAGGAGGATATAACCCCAATACTTTTCAAATTATCCCAAAATATTGAATACGCTGGAACTTTGCCAAACTTTTGTCATCAGGCCAGCATTACTTTGATATCAAAAACAACTAAGACATGAAACTACTGACCATTATCCCTAAAGATTCCCAACAAGATCCTAGCAAGTCAAATCCAAAATTGCATCAAAAGGTGAGATTTATCCCAGAAATTCAATGGCGGTTAAACATACAGAAATCAATAAATATCATGAATCACATTATTAGAATGAAAAACAAAAACCATACGGTCTTAAAAGACGCAAAGAAAATATTTGGCAAGATTCAACATCTCTTCGTGATTTAAAAAAAAAATTTACAAATTATGTATAGAAGGAACATTCCTCAAAATTGTAAAGGCTATATATCACAAAACAATGAGTGTCATTAAAAATGATGGTAGTATAACATTCTTGTTTGACAAAAGTAAAAAACGAAGTGCCCACAGGGTATAGTAAAGGGTGGTGGCTTCAAGCCTGAGTCTGATATCAAAACAACTGAAATTTATAGAGTACAAGTAGGGTGAGTGTATTTTTCAAGTAGGATGAATTTTTTAAAATTATGGACCGAGGATAAACAGTGATGTTTCAAAACATGTTGGTTTGATACTTAAATACTCATCCTATTAGAAAAGGTAGAGTACGAGCCATCCACTGTCAGTGACTTGGAACGAATGCAGTGTCGCAGAAGTGTTGTCGTGTGAATTCTAACACTAGGTAGAAAGGGCTCTCCATCCCAGATGGCTTGCTCTTGGAAGCTCAGGCCACAAAGAGAGTGGAGGTGTTCAAGAGTGGCTGCCTGCTCCCATTACAGATGAAGCCAGTGATCATATGTAGATGAGTCAGGGAACAAAGCTTCAGATGATTCCACTGCCCCAGACCTCCCGCAGTCGATGGCCATAGGGATTTAGGATCATGTAATGATGCCTTGGCCTTAGACTCACGGTCCAGAATTTGAGACTTAAGAGAACCAACAGTGTGTATTTTTTACATAGAGAGAAGAACAATGTATTTTTTAAAAGCTATCTTTTTAGTTTGATTCAAGTTTGCCAAATTACTGTACTGTTCAAAGAATTCAAAGATTTCTGGTCCCTCAATGGATGAAGAATTACCTGATATTTTGCCATAGGATGGTGAATTTCCAATTCACTGGTTTTTAAATCTGCATGGAAAGTGAGAACTCCATTTTCATATTGCTTTAACTTGTTTCTTATAGCTCTTAAAAGTGTCTTATATCTATAGGAATGAACATAGAAAGTAAAAAATTTCAGAATAATAGTATTTTAAGATTATTCATATTATGAAATTGAAATCTATCATGTAAAAGAAAGAAGTCTGCAAACTATGTTCCACTCTCATTAGGTTCAATTTAACATTGAAGCATTACAATAAATTAGCGTCTTCAAAATAAAGAGTAAATTTTATGATGCACATTGCAAGATTACCATACAATACATGTTACATATGTATTGTATAGTACAATTACATATTACATAATTACCGTACATTGCATGGTTACTAATGTATGGTAACCATGCATAGTTATTATAAATTACTAATATCCTTTTTAGTATGCTAACATCCATCACTGGCCTGTTATTTAATATTAGTTGCAACCAAGAGATCACTATCGATGGTGAGGAAAAAAGCATACTTGCATATGAATGTTATTAAAAAGAAGTAAAAATACATCTTGGCATCTATTAACCATAATCTGCAACAAAAAAAGTCAGCACAGAGTAAAAATATCAACAGTGCCATTCAGAATAGAATAAGGGATAGCAAAGAACATCTCTTATGTCTGCACTGAGTGGGGACGATAATGAAGTTTAAGAAGAAAGAAAGTTTACAGAGATGACACGTAAATACCACTTTACCACACTTAGAGAGCTTTGGTTAGCACAATGTTAACCAAATGAAAAGGATGCAGAACCATGTAAAAACAGGTAAATGAGAGAACTATTAGACTTAGCACACCAAAGAAGTACCCACATATTAAAGATAAAAGCAAGCATACTGCTAACTTCAAAGACCCTGGGAAACATTCTGTTATTTTAGCCAATAGTAGAAACATCATTGCTATTATCATTTCTCTACATAATATGCAAGGTTTATGCCATAAAATTATATATACATATGTACATATTTCCATGTATATATATATATACATATTTGGGTCCATAAACATACACATATATTAATATATATTTAGTGTGTATATGTTATATATGTATGTGTATATATTGTATATATACATATATATATATATATATATATACTTAAAGCAGAAGTTAATGGGTACCATGCATACATGAGAGAAACCCAAGGAAAATGAGAAATTGCCATACTATATTCATAGCTAAAGCAAACAAAAAAGAAAGTAGAAGCCGGATCCAAGATTATTTTTGGAGGCCAGTGTTGTGGAGCAGAGAATAAAGCCAAAACCTGTGACACCAACATCCAGCGGGTGGGTGTTGACTCACATGCAGGCTAGTCCACTTCTGACCCAGCCCCTTGCTAATCGCCTGGGAAAACAGCAGAAGATGGCCTGAGGGTTGCGCCCATACAAATCACAGGGCATTAGCCTAGTACAGCCCTGGCACTTGTAGCCAGCAGGGGAGTGAACCAGTAGATGAACACCTCTCTGTCTTTCTTTCTCTTTCTCTGTGGCTCTCTCAACAAATAAATATTTTTAAAAGGATCATTTTTGATGTTGATAAAAAATGACACCGACAAACTTCAGATATTTGAATGCTGAAGAAAAGCACACTTTCAAAAAGAGGTTAAAAAGACAGCCAAAAAAAAAAAAATCCCTCAGAAATACTAATTTAAGATAGATGAAAAACACATTATTGTTTTTGAAGTTGTTGACAAAAGTCTAACACCTGGAGATGCAAGAAGGTTTCAGATTGTGTTGTGAGATTTTTTAAGGTAAAATTTAAAAACAATTTAATTATGGAAATGCAGGAAATATAGTGAACTTGCAATTGAGCTTTCATAAAGTCAGATTATAAACTACTTAAAGTATGATTCAAATGAGCTGAGATAGTACAGTCTTACTCAATTAGCTCTTCCTCTAATTCAGCATTTTTCTTGCACTGTTCATTCAGGTTAGATTGCAACGCAGTAACCTTTTCTAGGTGTGCCTTTTCTTCCTTGGACTTTAAGAAAAATTTTAAAGAAAGTTAGTTTTAAGCTAGAATGTCATCTTAAAATTATAATTTAATGAGTTCATGAATACTACAATCTATAAAAATGCAAATACCATATATATACATATATATATTAAGATTTATTTATTTTTATTGAAAAGTCAGACATGCAGAGAGGAGGAGAGACAGAGAGGATGATCCTCTGTCCATTTATTCACTCCTCAACTGGCCGCAATGGCCAGACCTGTGTCGACCCAAAGCCAGCAGCCAGAGGCCTCCTTAGCGTCTCCCATGTGGGTGTAGGGTCCCAAGGCCTTGGGCTGTCCTCAACTGTTTTCCCAGGCCACAAGCAGGGAGCGGGATGGAAAGCGGGGCTGCTGGGACACAAACCAATGCCCATATGGGATCCTGGTATGTTCAAGGTGAGGACTTTAGCCACTAAGCTTCTGCACTGGGCCCGATATATATTTTTCAAAACTAATTACTTAATTCAAACTGATGTATACTATTGTGAATTGGCTGCTGGAAGTATAGGGTTGCAGGGCACTTTTTCATATACAGATTCCACTTCATTTGGATATATCCCCAGGAGTAGGATATAGTATTTAAATATAGTCATTTAGTATTCAAATTTTTAATTTGATCACTTCTGGCACAGATTTAGTTCCTTGATCCATTTAGAGCTGATTTTTTTAGACGATGACAGGTTGCAGAATGGGGAGCGTCCTGCTTCTTACAGCTGTCAGCTAATATCCAATTGTCACAACAGTATTTCCTGAAAAGACCAGCCTTTTTACATGGATTATTTTCAGTTCTATCAAAAAGTTTTGGCTTGACACAAAAGCCAAATACAGATGAAACAGAGAAATAGAACTACAGACCGATATTCCTGATGAACACAGATGCAAAAATCATTAATGAAATGCAAGTCAACAGAATCCAACAATAACACATCAAATAGATCATTCACCTGCACTGGGTGGGATTTATCTCTGACATGCAAAGATGGTTTAACATTCACAAATCAATGAATGTGATACAACACTTGAACAGAATGCAGAATAAAAAACCATATGACCATCTTAATAGAGGTATAGAAGGCATTTAGCAAAAATCCAACACCACTGCACTTTAAAAACTCCTAAGCAAGATAGGCATAGAAGAAATATTTTACAACACAGTCAAAGCAATATACAAAAAAAAAAAATGCCACACCATACAAAAAGGGAAAACACCAGAAGCTTTTCCATTAAGATCTGACCTAGATGGATGCCCACTTTCACCACTGCTATTCAACAGAAACTGACTTTCTGACTCCCAGCAGTGGCAGGCTTTGGGAATAAAGCAACAGAAAAGGAATTTATTTTTCTGTTGTTTACTGTCATTCATTGTATTTCATTTACTCTCTTTATGTCTCCTTGATATATTTATAGCTCCTTCTCAAAAATGTATAAAAAGTAAACATGTATGTTAAAATATTTGGTTTAACACGTCCTTTTTGCACTATGGTTACACTCAAAAATGCCTCATTGTGTAGAAATGTATAAACATTTGTCTTTTATAATTAAAAAATTTAATATTATGTTTCAAAGGAGTCATCTTGCAGACACTTCAGTTGATATCTAAGGATTATATCCTGCATTGTTTCACAAATCAATATTACCATACCATTCAATATTTAACAATATGTATAGGCCAGTAATGTATTTTACATTCCTAAGACAAATGTAGGGCCCTGTGCAATGGCTCAGTTGGCATATCCTCCCCTTTCAAGTGCTGGAATCCCATATGGGTGTCAGTTTGTATCCCAGATGCTCCACTTCCCATCCAGCTTTCTGCTTGTGGCCTGGAAAAGAAGAAGAAGACAGCCCAAGGCCTTGGGACCCTGTGTCTACACGGAAGACTCAGAAGAAGTTCCAGGCTCCTGGCTTCAGACTGGTTCAGCTCCAGCCATTGCAGTTACTTGGAGAGTGAACCAGTGGAAGGAAGATCTTTGTCTCTGCTCCTTGTAAATCTGCCTTTCCAAGAAAAATAAATAAATCTTTTACAAACATAGGTACATATCATTGAAATTTTTATCTCCAAGAACTTATCCTTCTTCTTGACTTCATTTTCCAAAATTCAGAGTTCTAAGGAGATTTGCCTATTTAGTGGTTCACTTTAGAGTTCACTTTAGTGTAGTGAATAAAATTTTCTTTTGGGAATCATATGCTTTTTCTGAGTAAAGCCATTTTCACCTACTCCAAAAGCCTTTGTCTGAATGTATCTCCAAAGTACCCTGTGGGCCTCTAATCTAGTTTATCTTAAAACTGAAGATGTGGTCACCAAAGAATCGCCTTTCTGAAGTGTTGTGGGATGATGCCCCTCAAACTCTTGGGACTGACGGGATTGCTGAGACTTGAACCCAGGCACTTTGGAATGGGAAGACAATATCCTAGATGGAATCTCAACTTAATGGACTTAGATGGACTCAATTATTTGTGAAATTTACCAAAAATAGGAGATACACTGAAGATGAGAAAAACTGCTGCACTTGAAAATAGTTTACAAAATTTTACTATTCTTTAAATTATGAACATCTTCATTGAGTCTCAATAATTTTTATAAAAACACTTTAAAAAAAGGCAAACCATCAATTATTAGGAGCCAAAACCAATTAATCCTAATCAAAGAAAATAAAATTACTCAATTATAACTCAGATGACACACTGTGATACTTTTATGTATCTATAGAAACTATCTTCTTCAGTTCAAATGTTAGTTCTAAAATATATGAACATCAACTACTAATAGTGTATATAACCTCCCATAATATTTGCCATTTTCTCCTTCCAATCATATATTTTTGAAAGTTATCTGTTCTGTAACAAAACTTTTCTGTTTTAGAAGGGTTGATTCTCTCAACAGACAGTTGGGTGGCTTGGGTGATCTAATTGTCTCCCCATCTGGTTACATTCCATCACCTCTCTAGATATTAATGACCAGCAATATTAAATATTAAATTATTTAAATTACATCATGCTATTACCATTACATTATATACATAATTTTAATTGCTTAAACTTACGATCCATTTTTGAATGTTACATTTTATTATGTTAGCAAATTATAAAAAATGGTAGATGTAGAAAATTTAGGAAAATTTTGGTCTTGATTTGGAAGATGAAAACTTTATAAAGATCTTTTGAGCTTTGGAAAATTTTTAATTTAGTACTAAGTTATTATTTAGTTATTCTAAAGGTTGTCCCAGAGATGTCTTTTTCTTATTCTGTGTCATGTTTTAAGGCAAACAGAACAGTATCAGGGCAGAAATTAAAGTTTTACATACCAGAGGCTGGTCATCTTCACTTCCATTAAGCTTTTCTTTTTCTTTCCCAACTTTTGTGAATAAGTCATTAAGTTTTAGAGAACTCACATCTCCAAGTTCAGGTTCCATGCTTTTAGAGTTATTGATATTATAGCCATCATGTGCTGGCTCCTTGAGCACATCTTGTTTTGGTTTTATTTTGTTATTACGTGTGTCTGTAACATCATAAACACTATGTCAGTTTATTAAATCATGTGCTTCATTTTGGGGCAAGGTAGGTCTCAAGTAGAGAAGGCTTTCTGAACCCTATAAAGTATGAATTTGTTTCATTCAGGTAGTAAAATTTTGGTTCCTGTATTTTGTCATTTGCACTATAAAGCATACTTGCCTTCACACATCTTTATATTCAGTTGAACAATCTACTTAGAAGAGTTAAAGCCATATATTTACAATAATAGAAAAATAACATTATCGATTGAAAATTTAAATTGATCTTAACCTTTAACTATACTTACTGCTTTGAGAAATAATATTTTTCTAAAACATCAAACCATTAATAGACACTAAACATTGCCAACTTCAATACATACAAACATCTCAACCATCCATTCACAAATTCATCTATTTGACACAAATTTAAAAAGCAGACAAAATAAAATGTAGAGATATAAGGGAAATGGATGTCATGCTGTGCACTGCTCTGTATCTTACAACAGCATCACCCATTTTCTTCATTACTAGTGACTTTCACAATTAGTCTTTGTATATCTTTGCCATCACATAAGCAGTTGTTTCATTTGAAATGCTTTAACCTACTATGATGACAAATTTCTTTTCATCTTGTAAGACTCACCTTGTGGTGTAAAGGACTATTTGATTATTGCTGTCTTCCCCCCCAAAGAAATAGATTTCTCCCTTTTGGGTGGCTACCTGAGTACAGATTTTTCTACTGTACCTATGCCATTGGAACCATAACTATTTCTTTATATTCTATTCTCTTAGTTCCTATACTATATGGAACCATCTTGTAAATTATTCATATCAACAAGCCCCTCTTTACTCAATGATTATTTAGAGTTCCTGCGAAGTTATAGGCACTAGGCTGTAGAGAGTGCAATTAAAATTGGTTTTTCTACAGATAATGCCTGGCATGACTTTTTTTTTTTTTCTTAAGATTTATTTATTTATTGGAAAGTCAGATATACAGAGAGAAGGAGAGACAGAGAGAAAGATCTTCTGTCCGATGACTCGCTCCCCAAGTGAGCCGCAACGGTCGATGCTATGCTGATCCGAAGCCAGGATCCAGGAACTTCTTCCAGGTATCCCACACGGGTGCAGGGCCCCAAGGCCCTGAGCCGTCCTCGACTGCCCCACTAGGCCACAAGCAGGGAGCTGGATGGGAAGCAGGGCTGCCAGGATCAGAACCAGCGCCCACATGGGATCCTGGCGCGTTCAAGGCGAGGACTTTAGCCGCTAGGCCATGCTGCTGGGCCCAGGATTGAGCTTTTAAGAGAGTAATTAGCCAGGTTAAAAAGGGCAGTGGGTAGGAACAGCCAGAGAGGTAGGGAAGTGTTAAATAGGGGAGCTGTTTGCCTAAAAAATTGGGACTAGAGAGGAGGGTATCAGGTAGCAGTTTGGCAGTGCCCAAGAAATGAACTCTACACTGTCTTGTAGAATTAATTTGGTTTAGTATATTGTATTACTACTCTCTAAAAGGATTTTTATGGGAGGGGGCAGTGCAGTGGAATATCAGGTTAATTCTCCACCCACATATGACACCATCCTATATGGACATCAATTCCAAAAATCCCAGCTGCTCCACTTCCAATCCAGCACCTTGATGATGGCCTGAAAAAGCAGAGAGAATGTCCCAGGTCCTTAGGCCCCTGCACTCGTGGGAGGCTGGGAAGAGCTGCTGGCTCCCAGCTTTGGATCAGCTTAGCTCTTGACTTTACAGCCATTTGGGGAGTGAACCAGTAGATGAAATCTCTCTCTCTCTCTTTCTCCTTCTCCCCCTCTCTCCGTCCCCAAATCTGCCTGTCTCCTTTTTAATCTGTGGTAGGAACACTAGTAGTAATTCACTAAAATACTTACCTGGTGTATTCTTTGCAAGCATTTTGGATCTCTGTTCTTCTTCATAATCCAGAATGAGCTGGCGGTTAGTTCTACATTCAAATAGAGGTACCGAAGTTTTACATAATCAGTGATATGAAAACAATTTACCAAATGTATTAAATTCTTAAGAGAACTTCAGATAATATACAACATCAGAACTTCATATAATCCCAATATGCCTCTTGAAATTAAGAAAAAGTAACCAGATGCTCTTATGAATTGAGGGTACTGTCTTAGTAAACTGATGAGTGCTAACTTGACGTAATAAAGAACACCATGAGCTAAGAATTTGTTCTTAGATAATTTATTTCTCTTAGCCTCAAAATCTTTTGAAAAAGTATTTGGGGGATTGGCACAGTGGTGGTCAAGTTAATCCTCCATCTGCAGTGCCGGCATTTCATATGGGCTCTGATTCAAATGCCAACTGCTCTACTTCCAATCCAGACCCCTGCCGATGGCCTGGGAAAGCAGTGAGGGATGGCTCATGTCCTTGGATCCCATCCACTCACATGGGAAACTCAGAAGAAGCTCCCTGATCCTTGTTTCAGATTGGTCCAACTCTGGCCATTGTGGCCATTTGGGGAGTGAACCAGGAAATGGTAGATCTACCGATCTTGTCCTCTCTCTGTATTTTTAAAAATATTTTTAAGATACTTATTTTTTAAACAGTATTTTTAAAATAACAAGTATGTTTCAAGAGAGGTAGGTTGGTATTGAAGCAGCTGAACTCACACAGGAGCTCATAAGGGATATCAGTGTTGCAAATAGCAGCTGAACTTGCTGTGCCACAAAGCTAGCGCTGGTTATCAGTTTGTCTCAGAAGCTTTATTGTTCAAGATATTTCAGTTATTTAGTAATTTTTGGCTAAATTTATTTCAAAATATCCCATTAGTTGAGATAGAGACATCAAAGCATGAACTGGACTATTGCTATTCCTTCTCCTCTTACTCAAAAACGCTCAATCAGTACACCGTTAGAATCCTACTTAATTTTCATGTTCAGCTCCAACAGACTGAGGACATGATGAGTTCTGGATGGGGCTCACCTCTTTTCCATCTAAAAAATAACATATCTCACATTCAGAGTATTCTGATGAGTGGCACAATTCAAACATTTAAGAGAATTTGAGGTGCAAATCGAATACTCAGTATAGAAGGGTTTTGTGAAAATAGATTATATCTGGCACTTACACAAGTTGACTGCCACTCTAGGAAAAACCAACAAACCAAAGATGGTACACTCAGGAGATATGAAATGACCTCGGGGTACAAACCTGGTAGCAAACAAGAAAGGAAATTACTGTTTCCTACAATGCCCTCTTATGTTCTGGGGCTAAAGTGAGATTTTCAAGGCGAGAGAAACGGTCAGTATTTTTGGTGTGCAGGAAAACCAAGAGACTCAGCTGCAAGAGCAGAGTACTTCTGCTTGGAGGACAATAGCTTCATTGTTAAGGTGAATTAATAAACACTGTTAACATTGAAGTAGATGTGAGGATCCACACTGAGACTGGGAGAGCTGGATGAGTCAGAGCACCTTGCTGACAGGGGCCATAACCGCCATTCTCCTGAACATCTCAATACCCATGTAAGTAACTCGAAGCATCAAAGATGTGCCAATATTTAGATCCCATGCACTGGTGTTATCCATGGGATGAAGCGTACAATATAAGAATCGATAAAGGCCCACGCATTCCTGAGCTGAAGAATCTAGAACCCGCTATTTGGTTTCTAAGTGAACCAAATCCCTGTCATTTCAAAAAGTACAATGTTTTACCTGACACATAACATGTAGTAGCTATGATTACTTTGGCCTTCAACTTAAAATTGACTAGCATTTTAGCGTGAACACTTACATATTAAATGTCACAAGAGCAAACTTCTCTGCGGGCCATCCATTCATGCTTTGGCAAGAGGCATCAATGCCTTTTTGTAGAAGAAGCCTCACTATCTTGGTTGATCTATACTGTGCAGCCAGCATGAGAGCCGTCCTAGGAGCACAGACATAACTTCATGCTTAAAAACTTTAATGAAGTGACTTAAAGAGCTAATGTGACATACATTACCAATTTCATATCTTACCGGTCTCTCTAGAATTGACCACATACATGTACTAATAGTCCACGTGGGAGCCCAAATGTTCATGTTTATAATTTACAAGGCTAGACGAAAAGGACCAAAAACATGTCTTTTTCCCCCATAGGGGTAATTCCACAGAAGTGGCCCATTTAACATCCATTAATGAACAAGAACTCTGCCAAGGTTACTTTTCTGAAGTGGGTTATTTTTTTTTTAAGATTTATTTATTTTTATTGTAAAGTCAGATATACAAAGAGGAGGAGAGACAGAGAGGAAGATCTTCCTTCTACTGATTCATTCCCCAGGTGGCCACAATGGCCAGAGCTGAGCTGATCCAAGGCCAGGAGCCCAGAGTTTCTTCTGGGTCTCCCATGAGGGCGAAGGGTCCTAAGGCTTTGGGTCATCCTCGACTGCTTTCCCAGGCCACAAGTAGGGATCTAGAAGGGAAGTGGAGCTGCTGGGACACAAACTGATGCCAGCATGGGATCCTAGCAAGTGGAAGGCAAGAATTTTAGCCACTAGACTTACAGCACCAGACCTGAAGTGGGTTACATTTTAAATAGCAAATATTCGCTAATTTGTTGTAACTCAAAATCGTCTCAAGTCAGGATAAATAAAAGCTAACTGGAGGCTGAAGATGATAACATTAAATATAATGGAGATAATACTAGTGGTAGTTTTATTTAACCATGCTAAAAACAAAAACAAAAACAAAAAACCTCCGGGTACTAAAGTCAATGCCTCCTACATGTATTTCTATTCATCTCTAATCACTCATGAATGTTCATGTCAGGTAACACTTGGTAATAAATAACGCCATCAAAGTCCCCCCATATATCTTACTAGGTAGGACACACTAAGGTATTGAAAATTTCCCTGCACACACCCCTGCTAAAACTGTTCTGCTCTTCAATCATTAACATATGGCTTGTTAGAGTTATAAGTTCAGTAAAAATCATGCTTGAGTACTATAAGCTGCTAAATATAAATATGAAGAAAAAAATACATGAGACAACTGAATAGTACCCTATGACCATTTTAAGGTTTATAGCAGTCGGTTATGTATAAACTAAAATTGAGATGTTAATGAAGTAGTTACAGGATGTGATTAAGAACCTGCATTCTCTAACGCATTGGTCACTCAGTACCATGTCAATTAACTTCATGATGTTGTAAATTTCCGTGTTTCTTCCTGTTGTTGAATTTGTGCTGTGGCTTTTCATTGGAGGGGATGATATTCTGCCAGCTCTACTTTCAGATCAAGGATGATCTCCCAATGAAACTGTTGGATTTATCTGGACAATGAGATGCTGGACTCTGCATGGTCCATGCCCACAATGATGGAATTATGACTGGTTATGAGCTGTACTGCTATAATTTGGAGGAAATCAATATGGGGGGAGGGTTTGGGGAGGGGTTGGGGGAATCCCAGAGCCTATGGAACTGTGTTATAAAATGAAAATTTAAAAAAAAGAATGATGAAACAAAGTCCCATACCTAGTACTAGGCATAGTGTGCCTTTTCTCTTTATCACTTATCTATGACTGGTCTTCATTAAAAGAAAAGTTTATCTAGCTGAAATTGTTCTTCCTTCCTCTGCTGTATATCAATTAAATGTAGAAAAATTATTTCTACAATTATTTAACCCAATTATTTAACCCAGCCATTAAGACACCAGTTAAGATACCCACATTCTATATTGAAATATGTGCATTTCCAGCCCCAGCTCTGACCCCAGCTTTTTGCTTCTTCAGGCTAACTAACACAGAAGGGATGGCTCAAGCAACTGGACTCCTGCCACCCATATGAAAGAACTGGATGGTGTTCCACACGCCCAGCTTCAGCTTAGTCAGATTTGTTCTAGAATCTGGAGAGTGAATAAATGTGTAGGTCTCTCCCTCTCTCTCTTGTCTCTCTTTAAAATATTTTTTCATTGGGAAGGCAGAATTACAGAGAGGAAAAACAGAGAAAAAGATTTTCCGCACATTGGTTCACTTTCCAAATGGCAACAATGGCTAGAGCTGTGTCAATCCAAAGATAGGAGCGAAGACTCTCTTCTGGGTCTCCCATGCAGGCGCAGTGTCCTAAGATTTTGGGTTGTCCTTCACTGCTCTCTCAGGCCTAATACAGGGAGCTGGATCAGACATGTAGCATATGAGATCCCAGCACTTATATGTGGAAGATTAACAAACTGAGTCAATGCATTGCTCCTCTCTCTCTTTTAAATGAATGCATTTAAAAATAAATAAAACTGTCAAAATATGCTGTAAAAATTTTAAAAATTGATGCAATGACAGTATCTGATAATAGCAATTTACAACTAGGGATAACCTATCAGTATTATTAAAAAAAATAACTAGAGATAGTCATCAAATGGACTGGCTGATTTTTAACATTCTCAAAAATATGTGAAAAGAGATTAAAACTTGTAAAAGGATTAAGAAGCTTAATAATACATAAACTAAATAAAAAGTATATGCACTATAAAACTAAGAAACTAAAGAGAACCTTCTGAAATATGATTCTATGTTCTTAAAAAGCTACACTAAAATATAAGCCAATACAACATAAGAATTGAATCCTACAACATATTGGTCTTCTTGTTGCTTAGTCTAAATAATTGTTTTTTCTTAACCAATGATTTGCAATTTATACTACACACCAGTAATTATAAGTTAATCTTCTGGTTACTTATTTTTCTGACAAGTGGTTTTTGTTACTCTTGGGCTACACTAGACTTAACAAAAAAAAAAAAAAGGAAATGACTTATACCGTCTAATGTTATCAACAGCATGAATATTGGCTCCTTTCTTTATTAAAAATTCTGCCATGTCCTCACCATCTTCATATATTGCAAGTAAAAGTGGTGTGAAGCCATCCTGTAAAAACAATTTAAGATTCACCAAATTACATGTTTCTCAACAAAAGTGAAGACCTTATAAGCTCAAGCATATATCATCCACAAAGGAAATAAACGTGTTGTCATTTCCTGCCATGGTTTCATATGTGCTACTCCTTCAGGAAAAGATCCTGTCGTCTGCCTCGTCACGCAGACCACAGCTACCTCACTTACATGGGACACTTGAGGCATCCAGGACTCCCTGATCGGAGCCTTTACCATAGCGTATGAAGACCTCCTGATTATTCCTCATCTCAACCTGGTTTTATCTCTGATGCTCCAAACCCTGTGACACAGTAGTAAAGATCCAGGTATTTTTACCCTTATCTTCGATTATGATTTGTATTAGTCTCTTGGGGATGATAGTAAAGCAATATAAAGATGTTTCTCATTTTACACTTTTTTCTGCTTCCTCCCTGTCTTTGTTCCTTAAAAATAAAATTAATAGTTAAAAACATAAAGAAGTAAGATTTTTGGTTTTCTAAAGTTTTCTTTTATATAGATTATGAATAATCACACTCCTAATGCTTATAAATGTGCCTCCCCCCCCCAAAAAAAAAGCGGAGCTGTAAATTCAAATAGGCGTGGAAACAAAGCAGTGACCTGTGGAAGTAAAATAGCAGAGTGTGGAAGACAGCAGACAGGAGAGGACATGACCTGTAAAAACGGGAGAAACCTCTACACAGCAGACCAAACAGCTCGATGGCTCAAGGGACATCAGAAATTTGAATGATTTCTGCCTGCAAATCCTACATTTATACATGCTAACACAACTGATGAGGAAAACTACACATATGCTTAGGCCATACTGCTCCACTAGGAAGCAGTCATCAATGTAATCTCTTCTGACACCAACCAAGCTCAATCATCATTTGAAACTTACACAAGAAAAAGGAAAAAGTAAGAGAGATATTTCTGAAACTGCATTAAATTTTCCCATGCAGAGGCAAATCAGAGACTAGCAAACTCAAAATCCAACTGGCTTTATTATTTCTGAGTTCTTTTTCATCCCCCTTCCCAATGAGATGTTCTAGACTGTGGAACAGACCCCCATCTACACAGCTGTGTCTATCAGGCTAGAATAATGCCTGGTAACTATTTGGATCTCCCGGTTGTGTGCCCATTAATCACCACCTTTTCACTCCCAGTCTGGTTTCCACATACCCTTCTCCTAAAATTGATCAAAATGCAAGATTTACCACCCTCTTTGCAAAACTCAAAATCATTCAACCTAGAATAGAAAAAAGCTTTTTCTTCACATGTCATCAGAAAAAAAAGCAATAAAAAAAGCAAAAAGTGTCCTCTTAGGATTTCTCTGGATGACTTCATATCCGCATTGGCCAGTTCCTGCCTGTTCGTTCCTGTTCTCGTTTGCCCCTCCTTAAGACTTGCCATTGAATAATTCTTTTTTTTTCTACCAACATAATCATTCAGAAACTTTTCATTCATGAGTTCTGTAACATGTTGTAACATTTACTGTAACATACTTCTTTTTTTTTAAGATTTTCTTTATTGGAAAGGCAGATTTACAGAGGGAAGGAGAGACAGAGAGAAAGATCTTCCATCTGTTGGTTCACTCCCCAAATGGCTGCAATGGCCAGAGCTGAACCAATCTGAAGCCAGGAGATTCTTCTGACTCTCCCATGTGGAGACAGGGTCCAAAAGCCTTGGATCATCCTTCACTGTTTTTCTCAGGCCACAGGCAGGCAGCTGTATAGGAAGTGGAGCAGCAGGGACACAAATCAACACCCATATGTTATTCCAGCACTTGCAAGGTGAGGATTTAGACCTTAAACCATTGTGCCAAGCCCTCTGGGTTGTTACTGAAAGCAAAGACCGTACCCAAGACAAATTCTGCTGCCCTGTTATTTTCCACTATTAAAAAAAAATAAGTTAAAAAATCTTTAACAAAGAAGTTACAAAGTTTTATATTTAAAATTTTTCCTGTATTCATAAATATTAGCTATTAGTACCTGGAAGATGGTTGTATTCTCCAACATTCCTTTAAAAATATGTCTTTTCAAAATATTTCCATTCAAGAAATGATGAATCAAAAGGAAAACTAACTTTATATACAACTACATAAAAATGAATGTATTTCAAATACGGAAACAGTGGAGTTGGCTGGCCCTACCTTGTTCCTCCCTTCCATGTTTGCACTGTGCATGAGCAATTGGTTCGCTATTCTGACGTTATCACAGTAGGCTGCATAGTGGAGGGCTGTGTTGCCATTCTCATCCATCACATTTGGGTCAGCCCCGTGAGAGAGCAGAAGACTGGCACATTTCGCTTCATGGCACTGGACAGCCTGTCAGGAATGTGCCAAGAAAGAGTGTGTAAAAGCTAAGAACAACAACATTGCACAAGTTTCACCAATCTGTTGTGCACGAATGAGATTCAATTCGTTTTTATTCTAAGTATTTGCACAATATCCATCTCACATTAAACTGAAGGCTTGCGTACCTTCATGAGAGGTGTCATGTTGTCATTGTCAACGGCATTGATCATGCATTTTCTCTCCAGAAGCAGTGTCACCACTTCTGGCTGGCCTTCGGCACAAGCCAGGTGCAGAGCAGTCCTGTGGAAGGGAGAGGGCTTGTTAGGAAATGATAGTGGACAACCCCAAAACAGCCATTCCTGTATTCATCAACTTTAGATAACATGTTATTCTCCTGCTTCTCAAACAGTTGTTTTTCTTCTGAAGCAACTGCGTTATCTGTGAAGTTCTACATACTAAGTTACTGAAAGAACAAACTTTTAAAGGGAAAGAGCATGGCCTTTGCATTCAGCACAATTCAGCAGCCAGGATACTAACCAGCGCCCGTATGAGATCCCAGCACATGCTAGGCAGGGACTTTTGATACTAGGCTACTGCACCAGGCCTCAGAGTTCACTATCTTTAAATAAAATACTGTGGAATGATAGTTTGCAATAACAGTCATCTATACCTGCTAATTTTTATTTTCATAGGTTTACATCTAAAATAAAATAGTTAATCTATAATCATCACATAGGTTAAAAATCTATAGGTGACAGAATGTATAATGAGAGATACATATGATAAAGCAAATGCAGATTAAAAGATCTTTACAATGGCTTAATGGTTAATCCTCACTTTACAAGCGTCAGTATCCCATATGGGGGCTGGTCCACATCCCAGCTGCTCCACTTCCCTTCCAGCTCCTTGCTTGTGTTCTGGGAAAGCAGGAGATGATGGCCCTTCGGACCGTGCACCCACATGGGAGACCTGGAAGATGCTCCTGGTTTTAGACTGGCTCAGCTCCAGCCATTGTGGCCAACTGGGGAAATGAAAGAGCAGATGGAAGATCTTTCTCTCTGTACCTCCTTTCCTCTGTAAATCTGATCTGCCTTTCCAATAAAAATAAATAAATCTTTTTTTAAAAAAAATTTCACTTTCAAAGAGAACAAAATTTGGAAAGTAATACTACCCTCACACACACACATACATGCATGCCAAAACTAACAGAAAGTAGGAAATTTTTATTTGTGCAAGATTCATATTCTGTTCTGCCCTGAGATTATTTCATTAGTAATACTCTTTAGAATAGAAAGGACAAAAGGAGAGGGAGGGAATATGAGAGAGAGAAATGGAATATCATTATATTCTCAGAACCATATCTATAAACTTCATTGAACCTGCTAAAAATAGGAAAAATTTAAAATATATATGTTTTTACTAGAACTTTTGCTTATTTTCTTTATCAAAATCACATATAATTACATAGAACCCACCAGGAACACAATTTATCCAATATAACATTTTTCTTAGCTAGAAGACCATACTCTCTGTGTATACATTGTGAAACTGACATTTTTCTCACTTGATACACCTGTTTATATTTTTGCATGTGCACATAATCTGTATCTGCACCACCTTCAAGGCTGTGTATTATCACAAGTATGGGTACAGTGTCATTTACCTATAAAATCATAATATGGAATCTTCTTACTGCTATTTTTTCTTTTGAAAGTCAGAGAGGTACAGAAAGCTTTTTCTCTTGCTGGTTCACTCCCCATGAGACCCACGTTGACTCCCAAGCTCATTACCAGAAGCTGTATTAGAAGTTTAGAGCAGCTAAGGCATCAACCAGTCATTTGATACATGGGATGCAGGTGCACAAGCTTTGGCTTAATCCATTGCACCACACAAGGCAGGCCTCCTTGAGTTCTACCAGTTTGTTTTCGCTGATTTGTACTTTTCATCTCCATGTTTCCATGTTGAGAATGTTTTCTGATTTCCTTTCTTCACTTTAAAAAATGTGCATTATTTCTTTTTTTTTTTTTGAAAGGAGATTTGGAGAGGTTTACCACCTACTGATTCACAACATAAAAAATTAATAAAACCAAGGCTGAGCCAGGCTGAAGCCTGGGTCTTCTATGTGTGTGGCAGGGATGCAAGAACTTGAATCACTATCGTTTGCCTCACACAGTATGAAATTGCAGGAAACTGGATCTTATAAGAAGGCAGGACTCCATCCCAGGAAAATACAATGGAGTATGTCCTAAGTGGTAACTTACTGTGCCACAAGTTCACTCTCTGATAATACTGTTGTGAACAGTGTTGGGAAAAAAACTGTGTTTCTTAAGTATATGGAAGTATAGCATAATTGAAATATAGATGGTATACACAATTTTTAAACATGGCATAGTACTTCACCACTAAATGTTTTTAACTGAAAAGTCATAATCTAAACTTTAAGCAGAGATATAAACATCACTGCAGTTCATCTTCACAGACTTTGTGAATAGAAAACATTATTTCATTGTTCTTTTAAATTCTTCCCTTACCAAGTAGCCTAAATAATTTTCTATTCCTATGTGTTACTTCAAGATTCATCAAAAGTACTCTGTTCAATTTCAAAGACTTCAGTTTTATTCTTGTTCATTTCAAAGAATATTCTATAAAATTTTCATCTGAGATATAAGTGCTGTAATTACTTTCTATGTTTCTTGTTAACTTTTTCCTGAAAATAGCAGCACATTTTTATATCTTTGAGGCTAAGAATTTAATACATTATGGTCTGATCTTACCACAGCAGTAAAACAAAGTTGGGCCCAACGTGATATTCTAGTGGCTAAATCCTCACCTAACACCTGCCAGGATCCCATATGGCACCAGTTTGTACCCTGGCTGCTCCATTT